CCCTTTTTTTTCCCCCCCCCCCCCCCCCCCTCCTCGTCCTGCTGCTTCTCGTATCCCTTGTCTCGCTTACCAAATGACAGGAAAACTTCCGACACTTCCCGAATCGGCAGGTCTAACGGAAGGCACAATGAATGGGAATTGATGACTATCAAGGCCGAGATGTTGAATCAAAATACCGTAGATACCATCGGGCATATCACAGAACAGTCTGTATTTCATCCCTTAGCTGCAAACACAGAAAGAGCGGGGAATTCGGGTGGAAGCAAGAATCGTCAGTAGAGCCTCCTATTTTCGATTTAGTGTAACGGTAGTTGACAGTGCAGAAAGAAAAATTCAAAAAATTTAAATATTCTTATTCGAGGATATTTTTTATAATATTAAAGATTGAAAAGAAAATATCAGAAAAAGAAGAATATCAGAAATGTCAGGAAAAGAAGAATATCAGGAATATTCAGGAAAATATATTTGAGTATTTGAATATTTTTATTTGAAAAGTCAGTAGACTCTCAAAGCACCATTGGTGTTGGGTGGGTTTTTACTGAATCTATGGTTATCCGTTAAAGCTGTTGTTACTAATTGTTTTTGATAACTTTTTGTTTTTGTTTCAGCACTGAAACTCTACTCGAAGTACGTGCCGAAATCGAATCGTTCGATGATCATAAATGCATTGCAGTACTCCGTATTTCCTGGTAGTGTTTGGGAGAAGCAACGCGCTGATGTATGCTTTTTCCGTTGGTTGAAAATTTTGATTGTCGCCTTTCATTATTGTTACATTGAGGTGAAAAATGCTTTTATGTTGCCAAGAGAAAACAGACAAAGACCACCATACCGGTCTTCCTGCGTTTGCCCCTGACTGTATTGACCGTCGTTTTCAGTCCTGTTGACGGGCTATTTATAGCTTTTTCTTGATATGATGCTCATAGGGCCGTTACGGCCAGTACTGCCCTTCCTACTTTACCTGCTGCTACAATATTTCAAAAATTTGTACAAAAAGACTTGATTTATTTCGACGGCCTCAGACTGACACTTCTTTTTCCATGCGGAATTAAAAGTCCCCTCCCCTCCCCTTTCACCGCTCTTCCGCTACCTCGTTGTATTCACTTTCTAAGAGATGAGAAGCTACTCAGAAGCAGTCCGAGTATTTGGACTAGCTGTATTTCTTCAGTTATGCAACTTTTCCGCTGGGTTTGACCAGCGCTGCGTTGCCTGCTGTTCAGCTTGTTGATACAACTTTTCCGCAGGGTTTGACCAGCGCTGCGTTGCCTGCTGTTCAGCAATCCTGACATTCGATTCATCGCCTCCGATTCGAGTAATTGAATCTCTTAAAACTACTTTTTCAAAACTCTTTTTTATAAATTTTGCATATTTTGACCAGGGTGTTTTGTTATTTCTTTATTTTCACTGTACTTAGTGCATCTAGGCTCGCTGTATTTATTAAAAAATTTGAGCCGTTCTTGAGCTCCATTCGTTTTTTCTTGCTTTTTTTTCTGAAATGAGATTTCATATTTTCCATTTGCATTAATCCCCCTTGTTTTGCAGGTGCTTGGTGAGCTGGCAAAAAGTGACAGCAAACATTTTTTGTTACTATTCCGGGACCAGAAATGCCGTTATTTGGGTGCATATAGTTGGGATCAGCAGTCGGACACGGCTCATCGTATCCACGGACGTGGTCCAAATATCTGCCATGAATCGATGATGCATCTCATGTTCAAGTACGTATTAATTTTTGAAGCAAATTCTGCTGGTGAATTTAATTTTTTTTGATTTCTCAGGCTTACTGACGAACTTGACTCATTAGTGAGTGATAAGCTCGAGAAAATAAATGACCATTCGAGTGATCCCCGAAGAAATTTGAATTTAAATTCTTTGTGGTTATGGAAAAGGTCATAAAACGATAAAAGTAAGGACAAAATTAGAATTTGAAAAAAAAAATATCTCAGATACATCGGACACAAGACCGAATTGCCTAGCACAGCTGGGCCTAGGGCAAGGAAATTTCTAAAATCACCCGCACGTGATACCCACGTTGTTTCCTCAGATGGTTTTAATTCACTCCTTAAATTTTGCGGGAAAAATCTCATAGTTTTTTGCATGGAAAATGTTGAAACAGGTGTTGAGTCGTTTGGTTTTTTTTTTTTTT